ACTCAGGCTCTTTGAACATGCTTCAAGGGTTAGCAAAAGACCTCGTTTTCCCCTGTAAATACAGATAGTAAAAATATGCCTAGAAGACAAAAAGGGACGAGAGGAAGCCACACAGGTCGTTCATTGTTTTTACTTGGGGCTTTGGCGAGGTGGCAAAAGTGCACTCTGACACGAAGTTGGAAAACAGCCGCTGTCTTCCATTTTCATAGAAAAGAAGCCTGCCGAACACTAGTAGCTTTGTGTGTTAAAATCCGAGAACTCTTCACAGCGCCAACCCAGCAGAAAACACGCACTTGCAGGAGTGGCTGCTGCCGATGTACTGAGAGCGGAGTTTCCTAATACCAAGTAAAATTGTCTTCCAACACCAAAACTAAGCTCCCTTCTTACCATCAAACACCAGTTTTTAAAATTAAGGTGTCGGGCAAACGTGGACACACCCGCCGCATCAACACTGGATTTTAATCTGATTACGCAATCTAACAGACCTGCCGTGAGAGCAGACCGAGTCGGCAGCCCGCGCATACCGACTCCCGAGCGCGCGAGGCCTCCAGGCCCAACAGGAAAGCACCAGCATCACCCGCAGCTAGCCCGCCAGCTGGGCCGCGGGTACCATGCGCCTGCAGGGAAGCAACCCGAAGGGCGGAAGCATCTCGCGAGATCACGCCAGCTCAACCCAAGTACTGCGAGTTTAGAACTTAAAAAAAAAAAAAAAAAGGCAAGAAGGGTCGGGGCAGCCCCGTGGGGGAGCCTCCGCGCCGCTCGCACCCCGAGCCGGGGCTGCAGCGTTGACACGCCTCTCCCGGGACGCGAGGGGCAGGGCCGCGGCGGGGAGGCCTCGGAAGGGGCGGTGCGGAGGTCCGGGGCCGGAGGTGCAGCGGAGCGGATGCGCCGGCGCTGAGGCCTGAACGTTGAGGCGCGTGCGGCCGCTCCTGCTCGCTGCGGTGCACGGAGGCCGGCCGCCGCTCTCCTAAGGGCGCGCGCAGAACCCGGCGTGGAGCGGGCGGTGGCAGCAGGGCTGGGCGGGCTGAGGGGCGGGCGCCGCGGCCCCGCCTCCCGCGTGTTGCAGCCCAGCGGCGCCGCGGCCCAGCCGAGCCTTTAAACAGCGGGCCCGCCCCGCTCCAGGCGCACTCGGCGGCTGGCGGCGTGCAGCTCGGAGTCGGGCAGCGACTCCCTCACCCATTCGGCAGCTGCCGCAACCCTCACCCGCTCGGCTGGTCCTCCGCGCGTCGGGCAGCGATGGAGCCCGGGCCCACGGCGCCCTCCTCCGGCGCCTTGCGGCCGGCCCGCGATGGGGAGACGCCGCTGGCCGCCACCGGCGTGGACCTGCCGGGCACGGCTGTGCCCTCGGCGCGGGAGGATGCTGTGGCCGGCGGCCCGGCCGGTGAGGGCACCGCGGCGGCCGGGGACGTACTGGGTAGACCCCTGGGGCCCACCCCGAGCCTGAGCCGCTTCCAGGTGGACCTGGTCTCCGAGAGCGCCGGGCGGGCGGCGGCGGCGGCGGCGGGAGCTGGGGCGGGGGGCCAGGAGACCCCGGCGGCCGGCAAAGCCAGCGGCGAGAGCGGCTTGGCCAAGGGCAGCGAGGAAGCCAAGGGCCGCTTCCGCGTGAACTTCGTGGACCCGGCCGCCTCGTCGTCGGCGGACGACAGCCTGTCGGATGCGCCGGGGGTCGGAGGCGACGGGCCCAACGTGAGCTTCCAGAACGGCGGGGACACGGTGCTGAGCGAGGGCAGCAGCTTGCACTCGGGCGGCGGCGGCGGCCACCACCAGCAGTACTACTATGACACGCACAGCAACACCTACTACCTGCGCACCTTCGGCCACAACACCATGGACGCGGTGCCCAGGATCGACCACTACCGCCACACGGCTGCGCAGCTGGGCGAGAAGCTGCTCCGGCCCAGCCTGGCCGAGCTCCACGACGAGATAGAAAAGGTGAGCCCGACCAGACTCTCCTCCCTGGCCCGGGATGGTGTGGCACACCCGGGGGAGGTGGCGGCGCAGGATGGAGCGGACTACACGCTGGAGTGTCTGGCTTCAGCTGTCAAGTGTGGTATGGCAGCACAGTGAAACCCGAGCCTTGCAAAGTTTGCAGCGGCTCCCTCTGGTTACATGATACAGGGCAGCTCGGTGCATGGTCTCTGTCACCCAGGCTTGACAGTGGGGCACCTCTCCGAGTTACCCGGGTCGAGGACCCGGGGTGCGCGTGCAGGAGGCTGCACCGCCCTCCGGAGAGGGTGAAGGGCACCTACCATCTGCGTTCTTTCCAGATCCTAGAGCATGGCTTATGGACACCCATTAGGGATCTTGAGTGCAAAGGATGGTGTTTGAAAGAAAATCTTCATAGGGCGCGTTTGTGGTCTATGAATTATTAAAGCTCAATTCTTTCAATCTTGGTTATGCAGAAGACTGTAGAAACCTGAAATCTTAGGACAAGCCTAATCCTCCCCTCCCAACTTTTTGAAAGAGGGATGTGTGTCTAATCAGTCTGTCTATCATCTATTCGTCTATTATCCATCTATCTATTTGACACAGAGAAGAGTCTTAAAAGAAGAAACAGAATAATTGGTTTTTCTCTGGAGGATGTCTAGAGATCTTCTGGGGTCTCTGCACAAGCACTTGTAAACAGAAAACCATCCCCTTAACGCTCTTATTGACTTGCTAATTTTTTTAATGGCCACATAAGACTTTTATTTCTTCAGGGCTCAGAATAATTATTTGATGATAAATGATGTTTTGAGACTTGGTTAATATTTAACTTTTATGATTGGCTTGCTTGACATCTGCCTCTGCAAGTGTATAATGGAATTTTGTGACTTCAGATTTGGCACCACGTTGGTTGAAATGATCACTTCAGAAAAGTTTAACTCTTGTATGTGATTTGTTTTGGTCATGATTGATCTCATACATTCATTTCATGCAAGACTATTCTTGTCCCAGTGTTTGATAAAGTAACATTCACTGAAATAATTGCGTAGGTCCCAACCTTCAAGCTTATTGATTGCTTAAAAGTCTGACATCATTTAGTTTTAGATAATACTACTCCTGTTTGATTGTATTATTTTGTCATATCAGAGGCTAAACAATTTCTTAAACATTTCTTTTATTCATACTTACCGTAGTTTTTTTTCAAATCCATTTTTTTTTCAAAATTCCAAATCTTTATAGACTAAAGAAGGAATAGAGTTACTAAAAAAGCTTTTCTTGGAGCATTTTTACTATTGAAAGATGCTATACAGATGAATTTCATTCAGATTTCTTTTATTAAATTCAACGTTTATCAGTAAGTTATAGAATTTGAATTGAAAGATGTTCTGTATGTTGAAAGTTTTTGCTATTTTAAATTTAGTCACAAAGCACTTAAGGCTTTGTGTTTGTTCTCTGTGTTTGTATTTGGGCCTTGCCTTTTGACATTTTTGTTCAGCTTAGAGCACCTGAAAATCAGACACATTGTTAGCTATATGGTAGTTGAAGAAGTTACAGAACCCCTCAGCTTCAGCCTTTTCAAAAGCTTTCAGGGTTATTGTGAAAATTAGAGAAAAAGTGCAATGAAAATAATGGGCCGTGGCCATGTTCAGTGCCTGCCTGGAAAACAGTTGCTACTACTAGTATAGTTCTCATTTTGCTTTTTATTAATTTATTTTTATTTTATGTGTATGAGTGTTTTGCCTGCATGTATGTAAGTGTACCATGTGTGCAATGCTCACAGAGGCCAGAAGAGGGCCTCAGATCCCCTGGAATTGGAGTTGCCCATGGTGGTGCACTACCACATGGGTGGGTGCTGGGAACAGAACCCTAGTCTTCTGCAAGAGCAGCCAGTGCTCTTAACCGCTGGCCTTTCAGAAAGTATAAGGCTAGACTCTTAAATTTTCAATTGTAGCGTCTCTTAATTATATTATTAGATGAATATAGTTTAGCAAATATTCAGTTTAGAGTTTTTCTTGTACAACAGGAAATGTAGTGAATTATTCATATTTTTTCAGCCTCTACATGGAGGTACACCCCTCTTCTCTACTCACATATTTTATAGTGACCAGAAGAAGTTAATTAACTAAAAAGTACATATTGAAGATAATTTTGCTTAGAATTTTAGCAAATAAATTAAATGCCTACAACATTAAGTAGTATAACTATGGCTATGTGGAGTAGTAGATTAACAGAACTTTTTCTAATGTTTCTAGCTCTTACTTAATGATGATGCGTAGAATTTCTGTAGCATTCAGTTCTAGCATTGATTATTATGTACTGTACTTTGGTGGCTGAGTGCTTTAATATCCACAGTGTCTAAAGATAGGTCTAACAGGTGCTAAGAACTATGAAAGAACAAAGGAAGTAAAAGATAAATGCTCTGGAACCTGTGAGGAGGAAGGACCATTGTTGCTTTTCTTTCACTTTATTTTCATACATTGCTCATTGATCTTTTCAGAGTATTTTGCCCAAATGTCCGACTGTAGGGAAATAAATATATCCTTGCTGAAGATGAAGACTAGATGAAGACTGATGAGCTCTCTACCTATGAACTATTTACTGGGGACGGAGTGTCCTCCATGTTGGCCATATACTGAGAAACTGTGGGATGAGAGATGAGTAGCAAATGAGATACTGCATCTGCCTACACAGACATTAACCTAATGGCTGGATGAAAAACAGTTATTTTTTCAGTGCTATGAAAGGAAATTTTGCTAGTGAGGATATAACAGGACCTAATTTTAATTGGGCTTTGGGAAAAATTAAGTGTGGCATTGATGCTGAGACCTGAAGGATAACATGAAGGATGGAATGACATTCCAGGCCAAAGAACTATACATACAAAGGGAATGAGGAGAAAAAGTGGTATGTCCAAAGGACATAAAAGGCCAGTATACTCACTGTATGCTTAGTGGGAAGCTGTGAGAGGATTTTGTGTGACAGAGCCACATGAGTCATTTTATTTGAATAGCTTCACAGGCTGGAGAATAGATTGTGAGGTGTGTGGTAGAGGAAACAGAATCTCAAGATCACATTGGTCAAGGTGGGAGATAATCAGGATTTGTGTAAAACAGATTGGATGTGGTTGGATGAGATGTAAGAGGGAGAGAGGCTAACTTTCTGGTTTTGGACTTGAATAATTGAACAGATGGTGATTCTGTTGACTATTGGAAAAGATTGAAAGTGGAATGAATTTGGAGTGCTGAATTTTGGTTGTGTACCTTATAGGACATCTAATAGTCAGGGAGGAGGACAATTTCTCTCTCTCTCTCTCTCTCTCTCTCTCTCTCATTAATCATATCTATCATCAATCTATCTGTCAATCATCATCTATCTGTCTGTCTGTCTATCTATCATCTAGAGTCAGGGAAGAGGGCAATTCCATCCATCCATCCATCCATCCATCCATCTATATGGAAAGTGATTTATTTATGAGTGAAAAGCTTGGGTAGAGAAGAGAACTGAAAACACAGTGTAGGATTGGACCTAGAGAACACCAAAAGTGTGTTGGAGCTTAAACAGCCAGACTGATAACACCCTGGAAAGCAGGTCCAGAAGGGACAGAGTTAAGTTTTTTTTGTTTTGTTTTGTTTTGTTTTGTTTTTGTTTTTTGTCTTTTTGAGACAGGGCCTCTGTGTAGCACCAACTGGCCTAGAACTCGCTGTATAGACCAGGCTGGCCTTGAACTCACAGATACCTGCCTGCCTCTGCCTCCCAAGTGCTAGGATTAAAGGTGTGCGCCACCCACACCTGGCTACAGAGAAAAGTTTTAAAGACAGAAACTAAGCAGAGTATGGTGGCACATGCCTGCAATCTGAGGAGGCTGAGGCAGGAAGATCTTGGGTTCAGGACCAGCCATGGCTACATAGCTGGTTCCAGGCCAGCCTGAGCTGTATACATAGTGAGACCATATCTCAAAAAGGGTAGAAACTCTTTAAAAGCTAATGCTAGGAATTGATTTTTAAAAGAAATAACTAACAACAGCAAAAATCAAAGTGATTTTTTTCTATCGGAATAAATGGAACGTGGAGAGTACCAAAAACGTGTTAATAGAGAACTTTATGATGGGAAACATGATTATCACCTGTGTAATGGCAAACAGTTGATGCTAGCTCCTACTGGATTTAAACATCATCATTATTATGTTTTGGCACTGGGGTTAGAAACCAGAGTCTTATATACATGCTAGAATAGTGTTCTACCATGGAACTACACTATTAGAGTCCTGACACATTGTCAGGTGTGTACATGATCTGTGTACATTTATGTGCTTGGGTAGAAACCAGAGATCAACCTCAGGTGTTGTTCCTCAGAAGACCTTTACCTTGACTGACCTAGGGCCTGACTTAATTCGGGTTAGGCTAGGCTAGCTGGCCAGTGAGCCCCAGGGATCTTCAGGTCTCTCCCTTCCTAGCTCAGGGATTATAAGGAAGTGCCCCAGCCCCCTTTTTCTTCTTCTTCTTCTTTTTTTTTAAAGTAGCATCTCATTTGTTGTTCTTAGAACAAGGCTTATAGAAGCCTTTTGCTGAGATTATATCAAATCTTGGTAGGTTACCTGTTTTTGCCTTTCTCATTAGTAAAAGGGGAAGGGGGTAAAGGAGGCAACTATATTATTTGTTATTTCACTGAGTTTGTTCATTTTATTTTAATTCCTAAGAAAATAGATCTTTTACATATTTTAGTAGTAATAAAGTGGTCTTGTGGAAAAATGAAAAAATGATTAATAGCTGCTAGATTAAAAATGGAGCTAGATTTAGTATAATTTTCAAAATTATTTTTATTTTATGTGTATCAGTGACTGCATCTGTGTTGTACAATGCCCTTGGAGGTCAGAAGAGGACATGGAATTCTCTGGAACTGGAGTTGTGGATGGTAGTTAGCCAGTATATGGGTGATGGGAATTGAACCTGGGACCTCTTCAAGAGCAGTTAGTGCTCAACTGCTGAAGCATCTCTCCAGCCCCTAAT